CAGCTATGCCCTCCTCCTGCAGGCAGTTTAGGGGGCCCAGGAGTCATGTCTCCAGCCTCCGCCACCCATTACCGGCTCCTCTGGGTCCCCGGGGCCCAGCTCTGTTCTGCTGCAGCACCTGAGGAACTGGGCGTCCGCTGGGACCAAGTCCCCGCCCGCCCCCTCGAGGGTCAGGCGCTCGGGCACCACCCAGTTCAGCCCCCAACTCCCCGCCGGGGTCCTGGGCTCCCAGAGACCGTGCGCCCCGGCGTCCGCCCCGCAGGGGATACGGAGCCAGGCCCCGCGAAGGCACTCACTTTCCCCCACCACCGCCTTCAGCCCCGAGGGCGCCATCTTCCCCCTCGAGCAACGCCGCCGCTTCCGGGTCTGTTCCAAGGTGGGGGCGTGGTTCTGCGCGTCACCCACGCGGGCCACGCCCCCTTCCCCGCCCCTGCGCACCTGGCCCCGCCTCGCTGAAGGCTCTCGGAGAGACCAAGGAACCCCAGCGCGGATTAGGCGGGCAGGTGTGTCCACACAGTCTCCGGAGGGACACACCCCGACCCATGCGCTCACGGACGAGAGTTCGGCCACTTTCCCTGGCTGTGTGCGGTGAGCAAGAAGGACCGCAGGACAATAACCCCTTTGCCTTACGCAGTTGCAATCAGCACCCTGTCCAGAAGTTCCTGTCTGCGAGATAAGAGTGTCCACGCGAGGACAGGGGCTCCCAAACCTCCTCCTGGCCTGGAACCAGGACCCACCTGTCTTCTGTATTCCAGCAGCTTCTGTATTAGCAGCAGCACCAGCAGCAGCGAGGAAGCCTGGGCACCCACTGTGTGCCACGCACTTGAGCTATCCAATTTTCTCTCAGTCCTGCTTGACATTACAACAGGGAGCCTGGCGCAGTGGAGGAAACAGGATCTGCAGGACCCCCAACACCATATGAGTGAACCTACTGGAATTTGACCCAGGAGCCTGTACCTGAAGGAATGCGTGTCACTAGACACGACACTTACCCTCATAGGCTGACAATCTCATATTCACAAGCAAATACACATGGGGTGAGTGACATGCTGAGTTACATGCACACACAGTTACACTCAACTCATAATTTGAGTGCCAATTCCTGTTGCTTCTGAGGGCACAGTCCCTGCATCACCCATACAAATGAGGTTACAGATCTAACGTGTGAATAGGGAGTCCTGCTCACCTGAACTGGTTTCTTCATTCAGCCATGTTAAGAATGTTCCAAACCCAGCATAGTGGCCTATAACTGTAATCCCAACTACTCAGGAGGCTGAGGCAAGAGGATTACAAGATTGAGGCCAGCCTAGACAATTTAGAGACCCTATCTCAAAAAATCAAAAGGTCTAGAGATGTAGCTCCATAGGATATTATCACTGGGTTCAATCCCCAGTACTAGGGGTGGGGGCAGTTTCCTAGGTGTGGAGTCCCCTGCCACTTACATGGGACAAAAGAGTGAATAAGACCAGAAGGCCTGCCCACCCATGGGGCACTTAAAGTTGCTTGGGGGGCAAAGAATTTCTCCATAGGACCCCTAAAGCTCAGAAAATAGTGCCCAGAGTTAAAAATTAGGGTGGCATCAAATTAAAAAGCTTCTGCACAGCAAAGGAAACAAGAGTGTGAAAAGTGCTGGGAGAAAAATCTTTGCTAGATACTCTTCTAACAGAGGATTAATATCTAGAATGTACAAAGAACTCAAACTCAACACCAAAAAAAAAAAAACCCAAGTAACCCAAATTAATAAATGAGCAAATAAATTAAGCAGACACAGAATAAATATGAATGGCCAACAAATAATTTTTAAAATGTTTGACATCATTAGCAATTAGGGAAATGTAAATCAAACTACAGTGAGATTTGATATTTGCTCTTTTTCCAGTCAGAATGGCAGTCATCAAGAATACAAACTACACGTGGGAAAAATAAGAATTCATACCCCATTTGAATCAAATGTATGATATATGATATGTCAAGATCATTGTAATGTTTTGAGCAACCAATTAAAAAAAAGAATACAAACTAATAAATGCTGGAGAGGATGTGGAGAAAAAGGAGCATTTTTACATAGTTGGTGGGATTGTAAATTAGCATGAACAGTATGGAAATCACTATGGAGGTTCCTCAAAAGATTAAGCATGGAACCACCATATGACTCAGCTATACCACTCCTCAGTATTTATATTAAAGAATTTAAGTCAGGGCTGGGCACAGCAGTGCCCACCTGTAATCCCAGCTGAGCCGGGAGGATCGTGAGTTCAAAGCCAGCCTCAGCAACTTAGCAAGTTCCTGAGAAACTTGGTGAGATCTTGTCTCAAAAAAAAAAATATAAAAAGGGCTGGGGGTGTGGCTCAGTGATTAAGTGTCAAAAAAATCAGTATACTATAGTGATATATGTATGCCCATGTTTATAGCAGCACAATTCACAGTAGCAAAACCATGGAGCCAGCCTAAGGGTCCTTCAATTGATGAATGGATAAGGAAAAAGGGATATATATATATATATATATATATATATATATATATATATATATATACACACACACACACACACACAGACACACACACATACATACATATACACACAATGGAATTTTATTCTGCCATTAAAAAATTAAATTACGGCATTTGCAGGAAAACAGGTGAAACTTGAGACCATTATGTTAAGTGAAATAAGCCAAACTCAGAAGGTCAAAGGTCGTGTGTTTTCTCTCATAAGCTAAAGGAATAAAAGAAGCAATCCTTCCTTGAAGGAAATAGACTAGTTATAGCAAGTACACGAGCTGGGGCAGGTGCCAGGGGGCCTCTCTGAGGGACTAACCTCTGAATGACATCTGGGAACAGCCATTCCTGTGGAGGAAAGGGGAGGGGGTTGACATGTGCAGCTGGAGGTGACAGTCTGGAATGTGACAGGAGCCTGTTTTCTTTAGGACAATGTCAGAATAACCCATTCTGGTTTGCCCAGATTGAGAGGTTTTCCATGGCACGGGACTTGCAGTGATAAAAATGCTACACTCACAGGCAAACCAGGCTGGTGGCCAGCCTAGGTGGGAGTTTAGGCTCTTCTTTTCCTTTTTCCCCCCCTGTAGTGCTGGGGATGGAACCACCAGCAGGCTGGCTAATGCTCTACCACTGAGCTTTACCCCCAGCCTTCCCTCTGTCTCTTTAACAGTTTGATCTCAATAAGTGGTTCATAAGCTACACGTTCCCTCCACCTGAAGTGTACATCAGTGCCCCCCACCCCGCACCTCCGTGTCTGGGGATTGAACTACTCGGGGGCATTCTAACACTGAGCTATGTATCCAGTCCTTTTTATTTTGAGATGGTGTCCTGCTAAGTTGCTCAGGTTGGGCTCAAACTTGCAACCCCAAGGAGCTGCCTGGATCAGTGGCTTTCAGCACCTTCAGGGCTGTTCCTCCACCCAAATCCATTTTGACCATTCCCTTACCTCCAGGGTATTTGGGTTTGCTTTTGAGAACAATGGAGGCCAAGGGAGGGTTAAGAGCAGAGAAGATGAGATATCTCCTCCAGACCTTGGAGACAGAATAGGCAGCAGGTACAAAAGGAGGAGCCAGAAGCTCCTCCCACTGTACTTGACGGGGTAACCAGGGTCCTCCAGTGTAATGGGTTGAATTGTGTCCCTACCATCGGCACCCCCACCACCATCAAAGATGCTGAAATTCTAATCCCCAGTGCCTCAGAATGTGACCTTATTTGGAAGTAATGTCATCACAGATTAGTTAGTTAATATGAGGTCACACAGAGGAGGTGAGCCCCTATTCCAATATGACTGGTGTCCATATAAGACTGTCCTATGAAGGCACACAGAGAGAATACCCTGTGCCCACACAGGCCGGCTGGAGTTCAGTACTTACAAGCCAAGGCACAGCAAAGGCAGCCCGCAGCTAGCAGAAGTGCAGCTAAGAAAGACCCTGAAACCGGGTTGCAGAGGAAGCACGGCCCTGCTAACACTGATTTCAGACCTCCGTCCTCCAGAGCCTTTAGACAATAGTGTTGCTTTAAACCACCCAGTCTGCGATACCTCTTTCCAGCAGCCCTTGGAAACCGTGTGCACCCACTGCTGAACATCCCATCATCACTGAGGACTTGAGCCCTGGATTAGGGTGTCCCAGGCAGGGGTAGGATAGTGGAGACAGTTTATTCTGAGAAGAAACTGTAACTGGTTTCCAGAAAGACATCTTGTTTGAGGGGTCAGGGCTCCTAGTCAGTGAAATAAAGTTGTTAAGGGATGGTGGCAGGGACTTCATCTCCTGTTCCCACATGGGTCTGGGGTGATGGATCAGAGGCAGTTCAACTTGCATCTGGGTGGCAGGTGGACAGGGGAACACAGATTTTGTCTTGGGGCCCAGTGGGGAGGCAACCAGGTCTCAAGGACAATGAGCAGAGGGCAGGGTGGCCTGGATGTCCTTTGGAAATGCTGTCCAAGTGGCAGAGCTGGAGTTAGGCTGGGTGGTGGTGCCTGAGGAGGTTGCAGGGAGGTGGGGAAGGGCTCCTGGGCTCCAGCTTCCTCTTCTGCTTCCCCCTGCCAATGGCAACTGCCCTTCCAGCAGGATGAGGCCACAGGTACCAAGAGGGTGCTAGTGGGCTGGCCAGGGTGGACACAGACTCCACTGGATCCCACAGGTGGGCTGCAGCCTTACCCTCCCCTGTTGGCCTGTCTTCTCCAAAACTGCTCTAGGCTTCTTCCACACTCCACCTGACAGCTCTTGGGGCCTGGTTAGTAAGTGCCGCTGGGTCTGGTGAGGTTCACACCCAGGCCACCCTCCCTCCCACCCTGTGCCAGGCCCAGCAATATTCTGGACAAACAATTATCTGGATCATCTTTATGGGGCTTAAGCTTGGGTGGGAGCAGATGGGGCATGAGCTGGGGATTTGGGACTAGAGAGGGTATCCACTCCCCCCACATCCTGGTTGTTCAAAAGGCCTTCCTGGCACAGGGCTGGAACAGAGAAGAGCAGAAAGTGGAGTCCAGTGGAAGAACAATGATGGAGCAGGGAGAGAAAGGAGAGGAGGGGGGCTCAGACCCCTCGAGCCAGGTAAGAACGCCCCACCCCCACCTCAGCTCCTCCAACTCTCAGAGCCTGAAACTGACAGGACTAGTTAATTTGTAGGGCACCTAATTAGCAAGTGAGTCTCCGGGGTCCCCTGACCCATTTGTCACCACATGGAGGTGCTGATGGGCAGAAGGTTTATGAACTGGTCCCTAGTCCCAAGGCAGAGGGCAAGAATCCTGGTACTGACCCCTAGAAGGTGGCAGGTGCTGGGACTTAGGGGTGGCTCCAGAGCCCCATTTTCTTCCTTTGTGCCCCAGACCCCAGCCCATCCCAGTCAGGACCCAATCTAGGACGGCAGGCAGGACGCTGTCACAGGCAGGCCTATCCCTAGAGGTGACACCACGTGAAGTGATGCTGCTGGCTGGGGCCCCTGGGGCAGGGACCAGCATCAAGGAGACTCATGTCTCATTCAGAGTAGCTCTGCAGAGCAGCAGATCGACAAGGACCATGGTAAGAGCTGGCGGAGCCAAGAGGGCAGGCTCAGGGACGGGTTGGGAGCCAGCTCACTGGGAGAGAAGGGGAGGAATCCCCAGTCAGACCAAGTGTGTCTGTCCCCAGGCGGGCTCACCAGACCAGGAGGGTTTCTTCAACCTGCTGAGCCACGTTCAGGGTGGTCGGATGGAGGAGCAGCGCTGTTCGCTGCAGGCCGGACCGGGCCAGACTTCTGAGAGCCGTGAGCCTGGGCATGGGGATGCTGCCTGCTGGTGGGAATGGGGGAAGTACAGTGTGCAGGGGCAGCCTGTGGGGTGCGGGTGGGGGCGGCAGGGAAATGACCACGCCAGGCTCCTCTGGAATCTGTCTATATGTTCATGGCCACGTGTTTCTGCTCTGTGCAGAAGATGGCCCCACACCCGAGATCGATAGTCTCATGGACATGCTGGCCAGCACCCAGGCCCGCCGAATGGATGACCAGCGTGTGACAGTCAGCACCCTGCCTGGCTTCCAGCCCATTGGCCCTAAGGTAGGTGATGTTCCATCAATGCTGATGACACCTACCAGGCTGTACTCTCTAACCTTGCTCATCCCTGGCCAGGAGTGAATGGGACCCTCCCTCATCTCTGTCCATCTTCTGCTGAGAATTCAGTTAAGAAGACCAAGCAAGCCCCAGACACGGCAGACCTGAAAAGGGCTCAAGGTCACACAAGGGCCATTTAGTGTCAGAGCTGTGGCTGAAACTCATGGCTCTTGCCCCTACCCTGTCTGAGGGTTTTAAGAAAGAAAGAGGGAGAGAACAGGCCACCTTCCTGGGGTGACATCTCAGGGAAGAGGACACACAGGAGCTCACTCACACATGGAGCACATCCACACATTCCCACGTACCTACACACAGCTGAGTTCTGATCAAGACCCCAGTAAGAGCCCTAAGACCTGCCACCTCACACCCAAACACCACCCTAAATGGCAGATAATGAAAGTAAACAGATTTCTCTATGGGGACAGAGGGGGCAGTCACACAGGAGGAGGAAGGACACGGATTCCCATCAGTACCTTCTCTCCAATGTTTGTGTCATCTCTGGCCTGTGCTGCCCTTGGTCCTCCCTCTGGCTGATACCTTCTCATCCACAGGATGGAGCGCAGAAACGAGCTGGGACCCTCAGCCCTCAACCCCTGCTCACCCCTCAGGACCCCAGTGCTCTCGGTTTCCGCAGGAACAGCAGCCCCCAGCCCCAGACACAAGCACCCTGAGGGCCCAAACTGTCCTGGGCCCCACTGGGCCCCTGAAAGCAAACAATAAAACACTAGCACAAGCAACAAGGAACTGAGTATGTGTTATTTCATGGGTGGAGGGGTTGGGACTCAAGCATTTGGAGGCCTCAGGAGCTCTGCTGGGCAGCGCGAAGGAGTTTCTCCTCCCGCTGCTTCCGTATCCTCTCTTTGAATTCTTCTAGCTCTTGACGCTGGGAGTGGGAAAGGGATGGGATGGGAAGGAAGGAGGGGGCACATTCAGGTACTGGACCCTCTCCCACCACCCTGCCCCTGGCTTCAGATTTCAGTATCTAAACTGGATGCCCCATGCCAATTATAGGGAGTCTAAGTGAGTTCAGCTTCATCCCTCAAGAAGGCAAAAAAGAAATCATACGCCCTTCTGCTCTCAGTTACCTACCCATGGTTAAGGGGAAAACTTCCATTCAAAATGCATCATGGCTGTGGGGACCCAGACTCCTCTCTCCCTCTGATGGGATGAAAAGGAGGTTACTTACCTGGCTCTCCTTCTCAGGTGGCCACAGCTCCCTCTGTGGGGACAAAGTCACAGCTGAAGGCACAAGCCAGGAGACTAAAGAACCACATACCTAGGTCTGGTCCCCAGTAGGCTGGTGCCCCACCCACTTCACCACCAGCTTGAATGAACAGGTGAATATTCTCTCTATGCCCACCTTGCGCTGTATGACATAGTCCTCAAACCACTCAGCCTGATTGGAAATCCAGAACATAGCCACCGGGAAAGTGAGGTAGAGTGTCATCTGCAAAGGCAGTAGGTACATGAACAGGGACCTGGGACCATTATCCCAGGAAGACTGCAGTGCCTGGAGGACAGACACACTCTCCGGCAGAATCCAGGACTACCTCCTCATGCTCTCCCCTATGAACCCCAGAACTCCCACTAAAGGTACAGAAAGCCTGGTCCCCATAATCCAGGAGGCTTTATTCCTGTGAGTCCCTTCCAAGTCTTTGTCTCAAGGAACACACAGATCCCAGCAGCAGCACAAGAGCATTTACTACAAAGACACCTTCTTGAGACCTCATCACTCCCCTAATCAGATGCCGGGAACACCTCAAAGCCATAAGTTCCCAACTTTCAAATTTCTTAGCTTCCCTAAGTCTAGGAGTCTCCTGTCGGAGGCGCCCGCCCACCCACCAGAAGGATCTGGAGCTTTCCTTCACTGAGCCGCCTGCCCACCCCCGAGAGGCCCTACTCTTAGATTCCCCAAATCCAGACGCTCCACTCCGACCCCCAAATCTAACGCCCCCTCCAGAGTTCCCAACCGTCAAGGTCTCTCTCAAGTCTCCGGTGCGTTCTCCCAGGAGCGGCTCCCTCTTTGAAGTCCCCACTCTGTACAGCTTCGCCCCAAAACCAAGGAAATCTCCCAACCAGCTACCTAACCTACTCCCGAGTCACTGACCCGAAAGACCTCCAGCTTCACCCCCATCTCGCTCATCTGGGTCTATAAACCCACTTCCGCCCAAAGCTGACCCCGCAGCAGCTAGACAGCCGCTCATTGGTGTTTCGTGAGTCCCGCTGCTGAAGCTGATTGGCCCATCAACCCCAAGATGACGTAACGTTCGAGCGCCTCATCCCCGCTTCCGGTCGTTGGCTCAGTCCACACGGAAGTCAACAACTCCAGCCTCACAGCCGAGAAGGGTACAGCCAATCGGAAACGAGTCTGGCTCGGAGGGGCGGGCCTTCAGTGGGAGACGTCTTTAAGTGCGCGACCTCGCCTGTACCTGGAGAGCCGGGAAGATGGTGGTGATGGCGCGCGTCTCGCGGCCCGAGCGGCCGGACCTTGTCTTTGTGAGTTCGTGGCGGGACCGCGGGTGGCCCGCGGGAGCGCATCGGGGCCTAGATGCCGCGGGGGATCGGGGCCGGGACGCCCGAGGGATTTAGGCCAACACTGTGCCTATCCAAGGACGGGGTGAGGGGAATCCCTGACGGGGCCGGATGGTGAAGTCCCAACCGAGCTGGCCACAAGTAAAGATCTAGTGTCAGAACCGGATTCCCGGTGGCCTAAAGAAGGAGCTGCTGCCGAGGCGAAGGGGCAGGAGTTTCGGGCGGGGGGCGGAAATGGGGGCGCGCCGGGAACTGGGGAGAAGGGAAGTAGCATAACTGGATCTTGACCCTGAAAGAACTGGTGTTTGAAGGCAAAGGAACCAGGTCAGGTCTGGTTTGTGGGTAAAGGCTTGCGTTCGGCAAAACGTTCTATGTCTGGTTCCAAGTGTTATGGTTTCTGGGGTAAAGGCCTAGTGTGTGGGGGGGTGCTTCAAGAACCCTGGAGTTTGAAGAAAGGAATTGGTGATGTGGAGCCTGTGAGGCAATGACCAGCGAGATCCTAAATAGCCAAAGACTTGATGTCTGGAGTCAAGTCTACCATTTTCATCAGACTCTTGGCATCCAGAGTTAAGGGCTTCAGGTCTGGTCCATACATCTCTTTCTGGAGCAAAGGCCTAACCTCCAAGCCCTGGGGCAGAGTTGAGCTATATTATTGGCTGGTGGGATCTTAGGAGTTCAGCAGTTTGGTGTCTGGTACCAAGAACCCTAGTGACTGAGATAAAGATCTACTCACCTGGCTTGGAATGGTTGTGGCAGTGGGAGCTGGAGGGTCCAAAGATTTGGTGTCTGGGAAGAGGTGTTGTGAGGAGGTAAGGCAGAGACCTGGCATCTGGACCAGGGCCCTGGTGTATAAGGAGCCTGGTGATGTGGACCAGCAAGCAGGTGGTGTGATTTGAGAGGGCTAAAGCTTTATGGTCTCATTATCTGGTTTAGATCTCTACTACTGAGAAGTCAGACTAACTGGGCCAGATCATGGGCAAAGGTCTGAACCAGCATCCTGGTGTCTGGGCATCTGGTGATTTGGATTTGATGGTGGACAGTGAGATCTGTGATCTGAGTTTAAATCTGGAGGTTGGGCATAAACTCCAGTGGTGGGCTGCTGCTGCCCTCAGACTCTGAGGGTAGGTCTCCCTTCTCTTCTTTCTCTGGCCTTTACAGGAAGAAGAGGACCTTCCCTATGAGGAGGAAATCATGCGGAACCAGTTTTCAGTCAAATGCTGGCTACGCTACATTGAATTCAAACAGGGAGCTCCCAAGCCCAGGCTCAATCAGCTGTATGAGCGGGCACTCAAGCTGCTGCCCTGCAGGTAGGCATACCTCTAACTGACCTGCCAACCAGGTCCCATCCCACTTATCCAGTCATAATGGAACTGACAAATAGATCCCAGGTGATTGCTATGTGTTTCCATCACTGGATGTGCATCCCCTGATAAGCCACCGCACTTCCCTGATGTCCCAGTCCTTCCCTCTCTTCCTGAGATTTGTCACCCTTCCTTAGTGCCTTTCTCCCCAAATACCTCCTGGGATAGGAGGAAGGGTTCTGTGGGTTCGTAATTCATTAGTGTCTGTCCCTTACTATTCCCCAGCTACAAACTCTGGTACCGCTACCTAAAGGCACGTCGGGCACAGGTAAAGCATCGCTGTGTGACTGACCCTGCCTATGAAGATGTCAACAACTGCCATGAGAGGGCTTTTGTGTTCATGCACAAGGTGGGGAACTGGGAAAAGTGGAGCTCAAACTCCACAGAGGTGGGCAAAGCAGGAGGGGTGAGCGCAGCATGGAAGGGGTGGAGGATTAAAGTCCTGCTGCCTCTGCATGAGATGTTGGTGCAGAGGCAGTCCTGGGATTGGGATTTCTGAGCTCTTCCATGTTTATGTTCCAGATGTGACTGGACCATAAGACCTCTGGCATCTGTGGCCAGGCCATGGAGCCCACAGCTCTGACCTGACCATCTTTTCCCACAATTCCAGATGCCCCGTCTATGGCTAGATTATTGTCAGTTCCTGATGGACCAGGGACGTGTCACACACACCCGCCGCACCTTCGACCGTGCCCTCCGGGCACTACCCATCACCCAGCACTCTCGTATTTGGCCCCTGTACCTGCGCTTCCTGCGCTCCCACCCACTGCCTGAGACAGCTGTGCGAGGATATAGGCGTTTCCTCAAGGTGAGCCCAGGGGGCTGGTTCCCCAGGTTGGAGTTCACAAATGGTGGTTCACTGGGACACTAGCCCCATGCAGATGTCATCCAACAGACATGATATGGATATGGGGAGAGGGCTCCTGGAGGCACCTAGAATTTCTGATTCTTCATTTTCCAAATAACTTGCTAGCATCTGCTCCACATTATACATAGGGAAGATGCAGGGGACAGAGTAAATAAGATAGATGGTTGTCACCTGCATGAAACTTGCAGTCTAACTGAGTAAACGGGTACACAGGAGTTGACTGTGTGAGCCATAGTAAAACTATGCCATGGGGAGGGCCAAGAATGGGAGATAACAGCTATGGGATGTGTAATAGGCCCTTCTATTGGGCAGAGGTACAGACAAAGTGGGGGTGAGACATCATTTGCTCAAACTTGTACCATTTTTTACATGGCAGACCCTTTGCATGATGTTGTTTGGATAGGGGCTTGTGACAGAAGCAGTCCTGGTTTGTGTGGAGCAGACCCTGGGAGCCTAAACTGCAGCATTCAGGACTGGGGTTGGACCAATGGGATCAAGGCTGAAGAAAAGGGCTAAGACCAGACCAGTCAGGACTGAGGCTGGAATAGTGACCCAGGCTGGACCACCTTGGGGCTGGGGCTGGGTCAGCAGGGCAGGCTCTTGGCCAGGAGGACAGTGGTGGGTAGGTGGGTTATAGGAAGCCCAGAGGCAATGGATCAGGAGGGAGGTGTGGCCCTGTGGCGCCTCTGACTCCGGCGGTGTTGGTGGGTCCCCAGCTGAGTCCAGAGAGTGCTGAGGAATACATCGAGTACCTCAAGTCGAGTGACCGGCTGGACGAGGCTGCACAGCGCCTGGCCACTGTGGTGAATGATGAGCGCTTTGTGTCCAAGGCTGGCAAGTCCAACTACCAGGTGGGCCTGTGAGGAGATGGGGACAAGGCAGGAGGGCTCCTCCCTCCAAGACCAAGGCTAAGACTCCCACACCCTGCTCCC